CAGTCTCCATTGATGGATTGTGATATTATCTGTGGAATTGAGATTGTTGCATATCTATTTTTGAAACAGCAATTTTGAAATAGCAACATATGTACACATTAAGTGACTTATATTTTCCATAAATTTTTGGTGGAACTTTTGCTCCTATTTCTGGTGTCAGAAGACAAATCCCGAGTTGTGAAATCGTCGCTGATTTCCTTATAAATTTTAAAATAAATTTTGTTGTATTAGAACAATATCTTAAATTTTGTCAATAACAGCAGTGGGATAACCAAATAACGCTGAACGCAAAAGATCTATCCCCAGAACTTAAGAGGTTTCTCTTTATTTAGGGACGATGAGAACATGGAATGAAATCCTACAAATGGATGGAAGTCCTACAAAATAAACTAGTGCCCCCAGTTTTTGAGATATCGATCTGAAATTTTGCTCACGTTTTTTTTCCCAGGAGCTGCTGATTTGTCGGAACCGCCGATATCGGACCACTGTAGCATATAGCTGCCATACAAACTGAACGATTGGAATCAAGTGCTTGTAAAAAAAACTTTAGTATTTTTAGAGATATCTGCGCAAAATTTGGTACGTATTATTGTCCAAGGAAACGGTGCAATTTTCGAAGACATTGTTCAAATCGGACCTCTATAGCATACAGCTAGTTGCGGTGCAACCGAAGTTATTTTTAGTTTTTTCGTGTTCTTATATGCAGATTCACCGAAATAACTGTACGCTACATGACTGACTACAATAGTTCCAATTTTGACATTATTCTAGTTTTCAACAGAAATATTCTAACTGAATTTTTCATCGTAGCGTTCTTACAGGGTAACTATATAACATATGTATAGAAAATATAGTTTGTTTTTGTGTGGTTAATGGGTAATGCGGTCTAAAGTAAACAAAATAAACATGCGCATGTGATATGGCAAATTCACTAAACTGTCATATTCAAATATACAGGCACACATACATACTTATTCAATAAAAAATATTAATTTGCTTCTCCGATTGATCAAAAAGTATATTCAAAACTTTATTACTTTAATTGCTTATGGCAGAGGTATACATACATACATATGTATGTAGATATATATAATGTACTTTCCGTATTAGGTTAACACTTTAAGGAAAAGCAGCTAATAACAAATTATTTAAAAATGATTCCAGTTGATAATTAGCAGATGGAATTTAAAGTGCTGTAGGCGTGGTTGTAATCCGATTTCGCCCATTTGCATACTATAACAGAGGAATATGAGAAGAATGTTATGTACCGAATTTGGTTGAAATCGGTTAAGCAGATCCCAAGATCTGGGGTTTCACCTAAAAGTGGGCGGTGCCAGGCCCTGACTAATTTTGAACACGGTTCCTATAAAATTATCTCATACCATCCTATAGATAAAATTTAATGTCTCTGGCGTGTTTAGTGCTTGATTTATCGCGCTTTTAAGTTGTCACCCGATAGAGGTGCTAAAAACATTTGTTTACCATTGAATTTTGTTATTATAGCTTTAGCGGCTTAGGAGATATGCTCATTAAACCTATTAGGGTGCGGGACCACGCCCACTTTTTAAAACGCTTTTAAACTGCAGATGCCCCTCCCTAATGTGATCCTGTGTACCAAATAACAGTCTTGTATCTTATTGTGGCGCTTAGTTATGACAATTTATTTATTTTTGATAAATTGCGTTTTGTGGGCGGGGCCGTGGTCCGATTACGCCCATCTGCAATACCAACCTCCTACGGTACCAAGAAACATGTGTACCAAGTCGCATAAAGATATCTCAACTTTTACTCAAGTTAGAGCTTGCACGGACGGACGGACGGACGGATGGACGGACATACAGTCACCCGGATTTCAACTCGTCTCTTCATCCTGATCATTTATATATACATAGTCCTATATCTAACTCGATGAGTTTTAGGTGATAGAAACAACCGTTAGAAACGTATAAAAACGTTAACTTCGGACAAACCGAAGCTAGAGTACCCTTTACATATAAAAAAGCTTCCTTGCAAGAACTTGATTTTGATCGGTCAGTTTGTATGGCAGCTATATGCTATAGTAGTCCGATATCAGCGATAACGACAAATGAGCAGTTTCTTGAAGAAAAAACAGCGTTAGCAAAATTTCAGATACGCTAATATACTTTATACGGTCTCCGACGTCTCCTTCGGGTTCCCCCTGCGGGTAGGGGTAAGAATTTACGCGTAGTAAGGCATGTCTGTCGTAAAAGGCGACTAGAAGCCAAATGCTCTATGACTGTTATTTTATTTTGCCCAGAAATATCAGCATAGTTAATGATGTCAGAAATAGTGCTATAATACTCAGCTTGAACTGATATTATAGACTTTAAATGAGCTTCCAAATAAAAAGACATTTGAAGTTCAAGCGACAAATGTCACCAGTCATTGAGTAAGGTGGGGCTCAACTGGCAGTAGCTTCGGCTACACAGTCTTACCGGAGACTCAATGCTGGTACCACGGGGAGCAGAATGATCTTGGACTTCGGTTCAATCTGCTCATTGGGTTCGGCCCTTTGGGGAGTATCGTGGTGGCTGTGGTTTAAACTTAAATGCTGGAAGAACTGAATTTCAGTTCGAAAAAAGCAGTTGCACAAGCAACTGGGTTCCGTATCCGAAAACGGAAGAGGTTTTAGGTCGGCCTCGAATCTTACCAAGATGGTTGGTGTGCCCTACACACTGGCCACTGGTAACCAAATTAATACTTGCAAAAAGCTCGTATTATTTGGGGCGCCTATCAACGCATTGTTTTGATACGTTGTGCTTTGGAGCACCGTGAGTATGGCCTTCGACGGCAGGTACTCACGTAAAACTCAGCGGACGTTGTCTCCTTTGGATTGTCATAAACATCGTTGTAAACTTAATATACTTTGCTCAGGGTAAAATAAAATTTTATCGAAAAACCTGTGAAAGTAAAGTCAGAATGTTTCATATCGTTATTTGTATATATGTTATAGTTCTCTCAAAACTTGGTACAAAACAAAATTTACTCTTAGTGCTTCTTCTAAGCTTTACTATAATATCCAACAATATTTCTTTTTCTTTCCTACCGACAAATTGTTACATTTCAATATTATATATCAGTTGCCATAGTATTTCATCTTTTTCAGAGAGCCGAGTGCAGTATTTCTCTTTAGTAGTACTCATATTTCATTAGACTGCCAATAGTACATAAGCGTCGTGTCGTGTGAAAATTTCTTTCGTAATAAACCGCTGCTAATCCTTCCATTTAGCAGTTTGTATTCTATGCTGATCTTCTGAGCTTGAGTCCTATAAAGAAAATTAAGATATATTATTTTACTGCATTCAAATCCTTAATTTTATCGCATGTTATCGATAGTGCAGCTTGGTAAGTCTATTGAAACGAATGAATGAAGAACACTTTCAATAATCTTTCCAGAATTTTTCCTTACAAATTAATTTTTGGTCTCAATGCCTTTAGTATAGTACTCGTTTCCAGCTTATTAAATCATTCCGATTTGTGAAATCATTCTTTGCTGGTTTCGGAACGAAATAATTGTTGTCAAACTTATTAGCGATCGTTCGGTTATCCAGTGTTGGTAAAACTTTGTCATTAGGCAAGTGCCACAAGATATAACAGTTGTTGAAAGACATATTGAACAGCTAATATTCTTTTACTAAGAGTTTTCTCTTTTCGCTCTGTTTGTTATCAGAGTATTAAACTGTTGCTCTTCTAACATTGACAGTAATTCATTATTATTATTTATATTTAATCATATAGATAACCCAGTTATTTATCATTAAAAATAATATTACTTAAATTAATTTTTATACTCTATGATAAGATAAAATGTTTGAACAAAATTTTTGCGAAAACTCATCAGCACCCTGTAGGAAAACTTGCACAACTAAAACAGTAGTATTTCCGAATTTTATATTTCAAACACTTAAGCGTGTCTGTACCGTCAGATTTTGCAATTCGGATAAAAAAAATAAAAAAAGTAAGTTTTCCCTCCTTTTTTAAAAATCACTTCCTTTTTTAAAAATTTGTCGGAAAATGATCATCAATTAAGTTATTTTTCATTTGATATGTGAAGTAAAATGAGTAAAAAGTTGTAAAGTCTGACAATTTATG